TGGTGGGTTTGGGCAACATGGTAAATGTAGAGTGGGGAAGTGGGAGAGAGAGAGAGAGAGGGGCGCTAAGCGGTTGCATGGTAGTGGGCAAGGAAGAACGGCGGTGATAAATGACCAAATACTATCGCATATGAGAACCGAATTCTAAGGTTAACGTAAACAATTCACCATCAAGCTCAATGGGGATATGAAACTCGTCAGGTGTGGTGATTGAATCACTTGATCTATATGACATGGGATTTTCTGTCAAATGTGGTTGTTTTTGAAGCCGTTTCAAGCCCATAATTGGACTATTCTTATCACTGGGGTACTGACTTAAACGCTGTCCATCAACACGACAAATGCGAATTGGATTTAGGACAATATGATGGGAGGATGGTATGGGTGAAGGCAAAAATTCTGATATATGATGTTGGTGGTTATTGTTGTGGTTGTAGTTGTGGTGGTGTTGTTGTTTCCAACACGGTGATCTGTGTCGACTGANGAATTTTCTTTCTCGGAAAACATCCGATCAAACTTTTCAGCTCTGCGTTTTCGTCCTGAACCGCCCGATTGAGAATCGTCACTGGGACTGATCGAATTGGCTCCAATCCGCTCATCCAGTTCGATCGGGGATGGTTCTACCGGATCAGAGGTCATCTGAATCCCACGGGACAGATATTCATTCAGCTCATTGGTGAATTGAGAACGGTAGGTACAACGCAACCAGAAGGCCAATTCGAACAGTTCGAAAAACAAGATACAACTGAACCCGAAACAGAATGAACTCAGGCCGCCAATTTCACTGAACAATTTGGGAAGCGAGTACAATTCCTCCTCAATCATTTCCGTAAGACCTTCCGGTTGGATTAGGTATAGGGAAAATTGCCCACGGTGACCAGAATAGTCTACAAATCGATTGATACGCCTGTACGTGACCGCCACACAGGCCTGAGGACAAGCGGTCGAGTTCACCAAGGCGATTGGATAGTTGTGATGACAACGCGCGGGACAATGCGTTTGGATTGGACGATTGTTTCCGGGGTCTGATGACAACGATGACGATGACGATGCCGACGATGATGAGAATGAGAATGACGGTGAGACAAACGACTGAGAAATGTTGCCTCCATGCCAGATCCGATCGTCCAAATGACGACGAAGCATTTCCAATGGACAAAGACATTGACAGTTTGTGTGGTAGTGTTGGCACACTGCACGCCACTGACAGGCAACCTGCAAAAAGATGTTTCATGGGATTGACGGAGTGAGCAAGGGGTGTGCATGTGTGTGTGTGTGGAATGATGAAAGAAAAACGAATCGTTTGTAAGTGGAAACAATTACACATCAAGAGTTAAAGACCATTCTCGATGAAATAACAGAGCCTAAACAGTTTCACTCGAGTGAAGTGAGTGAAGTGATGGAAGAGTTCCATAGGAATATCAAAAGACAAACAATATAACGCACAAGCTTATTTTCGTAACTTCGTCTTCAGGCATTTATAGTTATGCGTGTGTGTGTGTGTGTTTATATATAAGTGACTTGACATCTTGTTGCTGTTGTTTTAAAGGTGGAAACGAAATTTCTACCGTCACTATTTACCTTGGGTACCAGAAGGTGCAACAGACGATCGAAGGTTGTCACGGGGATTCTGTAAATTGATAATTGTGATCTCTACGATGGGGTAAGAACCCAGGAACCATGGAGAACGTGACCCCAAGTCTCAGTTCGCAGCTAAGAACTCGAAAATACAGGGAAACCTTATGTTAGTTAGGTTGGTGTCATCGTTCATCTCCACTGGTTAGATTATATCACAAACGAACTGCAGAGCACTTGCACATTAAGATTACTCCTCCTTAAACCAATTCCTCCCGGTCTGTTTCTATAAAAATTTTGTTTTGACCTGGCTTTCGCCTTATACTCGATCTGGGCGCACTCGATGCAACAAAAATCTCCAACTAATCTCGGGGATCACTTTCGTCTTTCGTGACAATTGGAGATTTGTGAAATACACTTTTCCCCAAAAATGTAATTGTCTCATATCAACCCTCTCGTTTTGGCTTACATACTTATAACTCATCAGTAGTATGTATGTGTGCACCCACTGATCTTCGCTCCGGAGGGGAAGAACATGTGGATACCCAACGTGCTTGTTAGGAATAAATGATAGCAGGAATGGATTAGCCAAATCTGAAACGCGAGGAGTAAAACAGCAGTTTTNAATATACCTACAGCTCGTCATTGATATGTGTGTGTGTGTATGCATCCACCGGACTCCCTCCGAAGGGGATGAACTCATGGTGATCCTCTCAGCGTGCAAGGAATAGATTGGTGTCCAACCGCGGTTGTACTAGCAAATAGCAACAGCTCTTCCTATAAGCCGTTGTGAATAGCTTCTTCTGATATCAACAGATGTGGAACTGACTGGTATGTTGAGGTCGTGCAAGTGCTACCAGTGTCAATCAGTATTTAAATTTGAATTCGGCTGAGTCACGTGATGTCGACCTCAGTTTCGAACCGCTTTTATCATCGGATATGCAGTACCCGACCCGCGCTGAATTTATGATGATTTTAGTGATGATATGGGTAAAACCAATATCTTACACGGCACTAGGAGAAACTTTGTGAGAAGCAATACGCAATTCACTGGATTTCATTGCTTGCCTGAGTCCCTATCGGATCCATTTCACCTCAAAATGATATCACTCGGTGGAGGGTAGAAGCTTTGATCCATCAGATGGATAAATCCGAGCTAGACACGTGGACCGAGAATGTAGGTCACTTTAAGCTTCCTGAGCGTGTCCATGTTTCTACCCCAATCAGTCACGTCAAGTCAAGAAATACTTTGTGCACCCAAAGGGGGAATTTTCAACAATTTACGATATATAAAACCAATAAGAAACAATAAAAAAGACAATATAAGAAAATCTACACTTTAGTAAATGAGAGAAAAAAATAGTGCAAAAGATTTTTCCTGAGATGATTGAGAATAGTCTTACGAATAACCAATAACCGAGGAGGGTATGGAATTATATATTGTTTCTACATGTGGAAGTACACGCAGGAATGAGTTGATATTTCTAGCGGATTCGGGGGGGGGGGGGGNGGGCATTCAACAGGGTTTTCACGATAGCTTGGTTCAGACAGTGCCCTTGACCACGTGTTATCCTTTTAATGATGGTATCACAAGCTTCAATATACGTGGAAATAAAGAAATCAAACAAAACAGCTCTATTAACTACACTGCAGCAAGACAAAAGTTTAGAGGATCTGGAATATAAAGTAATTTTTTTCCTTCAGAAGTGAAGTGAGTTCATAGTGTGTTCGGCTGGTATTCCGGAGTTTCACAGAAGTTCTCAAATCTACCAGGCGCTTGCTCGGTGCACTGATAAGGAAAAAAATCAGTAGCTCAGAGGAGGGTTGATGGTGTGTGAATAAGCGTCATTCGATCGATGAAAGACACAAATATCCATCGAGCAATCATTCCTGTTGATGCTGTAGTTTCATTCTTCTATTATCTATTGAATGGACATTGAAGTACTCAGAAATCAATCAAAATGTCAGTTAAACCTATGAGCAATACAGACACAATGACTTCATTTACTAAATGAATGAAATCACTGGGTCAAGTGGAGGAAGGCCTTGAGTTCCTCAAATCGGTGAATCAATCTTAATTATTATTTTTATGAATGGGGTGTTGGTGATTTCGTTTACGATCGAACCTTCTGTGATGAACAACAAAGGGCATTGTGGACAGCCGTTTCGCCATTGTCGTACTGTAGTAGTAAAAATAGGCACAGATCACGTAGTACGAATCAAGAATCACGGACGCAACGGAAACACTGAATCGCTCTAGCCCCTACATGCTGGTGTTTCACGTAACTGAGACGCAAGGAAAACGGCTGCAGAAGTAGGAGTTCATTTGTTGGACGAAGTCAAGGGAATTAAATAATATGTACAAACGGAGTTTATTGATTATCCAAGTATCTACCAACCGCCTGCTTGTATTCTGGACGTCATACAGCTTCTGGATCGCACGATTGGTGGGCGCCATCGGTCAGTGGTTTATGGTCCGGAAACTGAAACGTGTAGGCGTTTGAGTGGCGTCTTCTGGGAAAGTTGACTCACCACAATTGTCCTGACACTGTAACGCATTGGCTCTTGACTGGTGTTATCCCGTAGGCTAGGATCACCACACGAGCACATTATTTTGTGTTTAACTCACAGATACTTGTGAGTAGTGGTGTGGGATAGTTGATATTGATTTGTTGATTAGAGCTGACTATCCTTCAGACATTACTTTCATGCACATTCCTCAGCTCTTCCAGTCAACCAACATGCATTCGCAAGAACTAGACTGGAGTATCTCTCTTATTATTAGTGCATATCCACCGTCGGACCGTTCGGGATTTGAACTCCGGATCCATCGCATGGAAGACGTGTGTCACCATTGTGCCAGCCAGCTCATGCCTTCGTTTCCATTGGGCCATATTGAATTGACTGATTATCTCTGAAGATGACATCTGAACGAACATGAATTGGCAATTCTGTTCAGGCCTGGGACGGTGGATATGCCCTACTGATGAGCTCTAATAAGAGTGAAACACGAGTCTAGTGCTTCTAGCTGGAAGAGTTGAAGAATGTGCGTGAGTGAAGTCTGAAGAATGATCAGTTCTAATCAATCAATATTATTTTCTGTCCGTTCTGGCAGTCGTAACATG